TCTTCTCTGCTCACTACTACACTGAACCTGAAAACGGGTTTTGCTTGAGTGTGGGGGGTTCTGGTAGAGTAAAAGATGAAATAGCTCCTGGGCTGGGTGTCCCATCCCCACAAGTTGGAATCTGTGCCAAGAGGATGGCACAACTCTGGTGGCCAGTGTTGAACTTATATAACAGATACTGTGTTAGGTCTGGACCTCTGACAAAGCAGTAAATGGTGCTGAGGCGACAGGCCAGGAAGCCACCAGGATTCCTGGGCCAGGTGCAAGATGGGTACAGATGCTTGTTGTGGGGAGAGACAAAATGCTGTGTATCCTAGTATCTTAAGTCTTGAGACTTGGTGCTCATCCCCATCCTGGTTCTGCCACCAAGTGTGACTTTCCTCAATGAGGCTACATGACTTTGATCTGTTTGAAAACAGAGTGAAGAGGATGGGGACCATGCTGATAATCAGGACTCAGACACAGAAGGGGGGGGTGGGTAAAAATAGGGACTATGCATACAGAGGCCACACCCAGGTGTGGGAGTTTTACCTGGAGATGTTCCCTCTGCCCTAATGGGGTTGGGGAGGATACAGATAACCTTTTAACCCCTTGTGTTTTGTGTTTTTTGTCAGTTTTTGTGAAGGGGATACTTGAACAATAAAACAAGCATAAATAGCAGTCCTCCATCCTGCTTCTCAGGAATGGCCCTTTCATCATTTGACTGTACCTCCATATGAGTGTGTCTGTTGGAATGGTGAGGGTGGGCCCTTCATACCACAAGTTCTGGCCTTAGCAAATAACAGTAACTATTGTGACTAAGTAAACATTATACACTGGTGAGCTAAGAGGTGACTGTCTTATGTTTTCTTTTGCTCGTTTTTATCTTTGGATTTTTTTTTTCTATGTACCTGTCATTAGTTTTTTCCCAATTCCCCTGGAATTGCCAAGCCCCATGTTTAAACCATGTAGGTAGTAATGATTGGGCTGACCGCTGCTCAGGCCTGGGGCCACCTGGCATTTCTCACCTGACTTTTGCTCTCTCTGCCTTATATCTACTTCACACTTTGCCTAGTATTAGTGGCTTACAGTGAGCTTCTTTCTGATCTCTGGATACCAAGTTTAAAGTTCTTTGACCCATGGTGTTCTGGAATTTAGTCTGCTTTGAGTGAATGGGTTTGTTTCATTCTTAGTCAGATGTTGATATTTTTTTTTTAAGGGAGCAGTTTTAGGTTCACAGCAAAATTGAAGAGAGGGTACAGAGATTTCCCCTACACACATGGTATGGGAAATCTTTACTATGAACATCTCCCATTAGAGTAACCACCATTGCAGCATCATACCTAGTAGCGTCACAGCCCTGAAAATCACCTGTGCTCCAGCAATTCATCCCTCCCTCCCACTACCACCAACCCCTGGCAACCACTGATCTTTTTACTGCCTCCTACTTTTTGCCTTTTCCAGAATGTCAGATAATTGGATTGTACAGTATGTGGCCTCCTCCACTTGGAGGAGGCCACATACTTAGTAATACACCAAGTTCCCTTCTTTTGATGGCTTGCCATAGCTGATTTCTTTTTAGTGCTGAATAATATTCCATCATATGGTTGTAGCACAGTTTATTTGTTCACCTACTAAAGGACACCTTGGTTGCTCCCAAGTTTTGGCAATTATCAATAAAGCTGCTGTAAACATTTGTGTGCAGATTTTTGTGTCAACATAAGCTTTCAACTCCTTTGAGTTAATACCAAGGAGTACAATTGCTTGTAAGAGTATGTTTCGTTTTGTAAGAAACCTTCCAACGTGGATGCACCATTTTACATTCCCACCAGCTCCTGTTGCTGTATATCCTCAAAGTATTCCCTTCACAAAAACTGTCATAAAAAGTCTTTGGCCCAGCCCTAGCCAGTTTGGTTCAGTGTGCTGAGGTCCAACCCAGCAGGACCAGGGGTCCCCAAAGGTGTGGACGGAGTCGGCGAAGAAGGAATGACACGGAGACAGCATTCAGTTGATCAGCAGCCTAGCCAGGATCTCCAGCCAAGTTCTGTCTAGGATCTCCAGCCAAGTTCTGTGTCTAGGTTCTCTATGCCATGTTCTCTTGCTAGGTTCTCCAGCCACGTTCTCCAGGTTCTCCAGCCAGGTTCTGTAGCCCTGTTCTCTCGCTAGGTTCTCCAGCCAGGTTCGGTCGCCAGGTTCTGTAGCCGGGTTCTGCAACCAGGTTCTGTCTAGGTTCTCCAACCAAGTTCTGTAGCCATGCTCTGTCCAGGTTTCATGGTTGGGTCACAACATGAGGAGCTGTATTTAAAGGACCAGAAGGTTGAGAACTACTGATTTAAACTCATCTCAAAACGTCCTTGTAGCTTTTGTTGTGTTGAAAAGGCTAGTCTGGCTGGTGTGGCTCAGTGGTTAAGCATCCTATGAACCAGGAGGTCACAGTTTGATTCCTGGTCATGGCACATGCCGCGGTCATGATCCCCAGTAGGGGGCATGCAGGAGACAGCCAATCAATGATTCTCATCATTGATGTTTCTTTTCTATCTCTCTCTCCTCCCTTCCTCTCTAAATAAATAAAAATATGTATTTTTTAAGGCATTTGACTTATTTTTTTTTAAATATATTTTATTGATTTTTTACAGAGAGGAAGGGAAGGAGAGATAGAGAGTTAGAAACATCGATGGGAGAGAAACATCGATCAGCCGCCTCCTGCACATCTCATACTGGGGATGTGCTCGCAACCCAGGTACATGCCCTTGACCGGAATCGAACCTGGGACCTTTCAGTCCACAGGCTGATGCTCTATCCACTGAGCCAAACCGGTTTCGGCTATTTGACTTATTTTTAAATCAGGTTGTTTGTTTTCTTACTGGGTTTTAACTAGTTTTCGTGTGTTTTGGATGACATTCCTTTATTAGATGTGTCTTTTGCAAATGTTTTCTCTTTCTCCTAATTATCTTTCCCAGAGTACAGGCTTTCAATTTTTTAAAAAATATATTTTTTTATTGATTTTTTACAGAGAGAAAGGGAGAGGGATAGAGAGTTAGAAACATCGATGAGAGAGAAACATCGATCAGCTGCCTCCTGCACACCTCCTACTGGGGATGTGCCCACAACTAAGGTACACGCCCTTGACCGGAATCAAACCTGGACCTTTCAGTCCACAGGCTGATGCTCTATCCACTGAGCCAAACCGGTTTGGCCAGGCTTTCAATTTTAATAAAGTCCAGCTTATCACTTATTTCTTTCCTAGATCATGTCTTTGGTATTATATTTAAAAAGTCATCAGCGTGCCCAAGTAGATGTTGATCTTTCAAATTCTCCCAGTTTTCCCTTTCTTACCCATGTTTTTAATTTTAAAATGTCAAATGCCCCCGACTGGTTCCATGGCTGAGTGTTGACCTGTGAATGAGAAGGTTACAGTTCGATTCCTGGTCAGGGCACATGCCTAGGTTTCCAGCTGGATCCCCAGTAGTGGTGCCCCAAGTAGGGGCGTGCAGAAGGCAGCTGATCAATGATTCTCATCACTGATGTTTCCATCTCTCTCTCTCTCCCCCTCCTTTCTTGTCTGAAATCAATGAAAATATATTTTTTAAAAAGTGTCAAAAGTGCACTGAAGCTAGTTTGGAAAGAGCTCTACTGGGCATGTCTGGGACCACGGGAGCATCACATTCACGATGGGGCAGCTGACCCATTGAGTGAAATAGGAATGTGAGTTCGTGTTCATGTAGATACTTGGATAAGGAAAGGGGCTTTCTTACAGCAGAATGCTAACAGCTGTGAGGAATGACTAGATTAGAAAAGTTCCATTTGACAGTTGTCATGGCAGCCAGGAAATGTCAAGGTACTGAAACCTGAGAGGGTGGATGTTTGATGAGCTGGGTGTGTATATTATCACTCAGTGCTCAGGTGGAGAGAACTTAGAATGGAGAAGACCCGAGCCTTTTATCAGAGGTGACATGGGGTTTTGAGGGTCAGGACACGCCCCACACGTGGGTGCAGTGGGGCATGCCTGTGCTAGGCCCATATGATGTCCTTCACTGGTTTCTGACCTCAGCAGTGTTTGTTCATAGTTCAAAGACTGGGAGCCGTTGGTTACTTCTGGGGGAGGCACACCAGCATTTGAGAGGGTGACAGTTTCTTTCTTGTTTAGAATAAAAGTTGAAGAGTAACAGTGGTGCAGCAGGGAGAGGCCAGGCCTGGGCAGCACCAGTGCTTGGGGGCCTTCTGGGACTGAGAGCCTACACTTCCTGGCCTATAGCTTCCTAGCCCTTTCTGCCTGCTCTCTGACCTTGGATGGTAGTTGACTGGATGATGTGAGGAGAACCTGGGGTGAGTGTGGCCTAGACATGGCACGAATGTTCTCACATAAGCGTGTTGCCACACCACTTGGGTTGGACCCCCTCCTCTCTGGAACAGGGGTGACCTCCACTGGTGGGAAAGAGCCGCCCCTGACATGCTGCCCTGGGGCCCTTGCTGTGCCTTGAACCCAGTGCCCAGGTGTGGTCCCCATGTCCAGCCTGCTGCGGGGTGAGTGCGGAGCTCTCAGTGTGTTGGGAAAGGTTGGTTTCTGCTTCGTTCTGGGGGAGGGGAGTCTAGCTCCCCATGCACTCGTCATCTTAAGCCTGGTCCATCTTTAAGGTTTGGTGGGTCAGTGGAGGAACACTATGGGGCCTTGGTTCAGTTGTTTCTGGCTCCCTTGAAAAGATTAGAGAGAGAGTAGCATTCCTTTGAAAGCCATGAATGTCAGGTGGTAAAGGTCAGCCTTGTTCATAAGATTCCCAGACTCTTCCTTCTAAGGGTGATTGGGGGGTGCGAGGGGCTTGAGTGCCCAGCGGACAGACTGTTTTTCTTTTCCTGTAGCTTGGGAACTGGAGTTTCCTTAGCTCCTCCCTGAGTTTTCAGGAGGAAGCAGGATGTCTGTCTCTCCATTCATGGTGGGAGGGTAGGTTGTCTCTGAGCTGCTCCTGTGCTAAACCCTGGGTGGCATAGAAAGAGACCCAGGGACCCCTTCCTTGTCTCTGCAGGTTTCTCTGGCCAGTGTCTCTCCCTCCGGTCTACAGCATGGGGAACATCTTTGCGAACCTCTTCAAGGGCCTTTTTGGCAAAAAAGAAATGCGCATTCTCATGGTGGGCCTGGATGCTGCGGGGAAGACCACCATCCTGTACAAACTGAAGCTGGGTGAGATCGTGACCACCATCCCCACCATAGGTGAGGAAGCCAGGCCATGGGGGTTGGGGAGGTGGCTGGAATGGCTGGGGGTCAGCTCACACTGGGCCATGCTCCTGCAGGTTTCAACGTGGAGACTGTGGAGTATAAGAACATCAGCTTCACGGTGTGGGATGTGGGTGGCCAGGACAAGATCCGGCCTCTGTGGCGCCACTACTTCCAGAATACACAAGGTGAGGGCTGGGGGCCATGGCCTGTGGGAGAGGTTGGGTGTCCTCAGCAACTTCGTTGACACCTGCTCCTTGGCAGGTCTCATCTTTGTGGTTGACAGCAATGACCGAGAGCGTGTGAATGAGGCTCGAGAGGAGCTTATGCGGATGCTGGCGGAGGATGAGCTCAGGGATGCTGTCCTGCTCGTGTTCGCAAACAAGCAGGTACGCACTTATATGTGATTGAGCCACCCCAAGGGGCTGGGGGTATGAAGGGATCACAGGTCAGGTTGGGAGGGATCCCAGTCTTCCTGATGATCCATGGCTACCATGCCACCCTGTCCTTCCCACCAGGACCTCCCCAATGCTATGAACGCAGCTGAGATCACGGACAAGCTGGGCCTCCACTCTCTGCGCCACAGGAACTGGTACATTCAGGCTACCTGTGCCACCAGTGGGGACGGGCTCTATGAGGGACTGGACTGGCTGTCCAATCAGCTCCGGAACCAGAAGTGAACCGAACTCCTCTCTTCCCCCTCACTCCCTACTTCACCCTTGCTTTCCTCTCATGTGGCAGATGTGCCCCTGTGGTGTGAGTGCCAGAAGCTGTCTCCATGGTCGGTCCCAGTGTGCTTCATCATGCTGTACATGTGCAGACGCAGCCTGCAACCGGGTTTTTATTTAATGTAAATAGTTCTTGTTTCCAATGAGGCAGTTTCTGGTACTCCTATGCAATATTACTCAGCTTTTTTT